ATGGCATCAGAAGTCTACAATCACTAACAAATGGCGTCAGAAGTCTACAATCACTAACAAATGGCATCAGAAGTCTACAATCACTAACAAATGGCTTCAGAAGCCTACAATCACTAACAAATGGCTTCAGAAGTCTACGGATCTTTGCTCAGAAAACACCCCTTCCCCCAAGCATGGACAGGGCGGGCCCAGCTATCCGCTTGCTTCTCCTGAAACGGGGTGCGTGCCTCATCTAGACGGCTTCTGCTCATCAGGTTATCCTGGGTCAAACGATTACCCAGCAGCTACTGGGGTCCCCGTTGTCACTTCCAACCCTATATTTGTTCTTCACTGTGGCATGAACCAGAATGTTCTTTCTCACAGAGTGTACAAGTCCCAAAATGCTGCACAAAGAGCCTTCTGCCGCCTCTTCTTCCTCGTGGGCAGGGGCCTGGGTCCCACTACTCCGGTCCAGGCGGAGGACACACCAGACCAGGCAGACCCATGGGGGTGGTGGACATTGGTTTTTGCTCTACTCCCACACCCAAAGCCTACCTTTCCAGCGCGGCCGTCTTAACCTTCTCCAGCTCCAGCTGCTGCTGGAGAGCCTCCCTTTTCTCCAGCGACGGACACAGAACTGGGTTTCTGGCCAGAGCCACCGCAGAAGGTCTCTGCTGTGGGTCAGGGTGGATCATACTCTGATGGTGGAAGTGCCCCGAGAGGAAAGTTTCACTGTTAGGAGCCCACCTACCCATCCAGGACAATCCTGTCCCACCACCACCCGCCCAGGATGTCCCCACCCCTCCACCCCTAAGACAACTCGATCCCAGCTTCCACACAGGGTTGGCAGAACCCTGCTCCTCTCAGTGCAAGAATCCAGGAAAGCTTAGCTACACCTCACACAGGAGGCACATCCCTGGCCAGCACCATCGGCTATCCTGAGCTCAAATTGGTCTTTAAGTACCAGAGAGCGAATGATCCCTGGTGACGTAGGGGTTACTCCTTAGGCCAGCTGCTGGAGCCCAGCAGCTGCTGCACAGGAGGAAGATGAGGCTGTCTGCTCCCACGAAGATTTTCAGCCTCAGAAACACACAGGGGCAGTCCTACCCTGTCCTATGGGGTCACCAGGAGTCAGAATCAATGTCAGAGCGGTGAGTTGTTTTGTCGTTGTTCACCAAAAGGTTGCCATTTCAGCGGGGGAAAGAGGTGGGGGTCAGCAGGGGGAACCCCCCACAAGATGGCCACCTTGGAACCCCCCTGGGCAGCACTGATCTGTCCACGAGGGCTTCCTGGGGGTCAGAAAGGACTGCAAGGTGGGGGTCAGGGAGGGGCACAACAGTTCTGGTTTGGAGCGCTAAAGTACTGTATTTTTTTTTTGGCCTGGTCCCTAAACACACCTCAGATATCATTACGGACAATTTCCACATCAATTGTTGACCTGACGGTCAACGTCCTTTCTAATAGCTCAGATGACAGACCGGTGGCTTTCCAAGTCATCCGCCAGTCAAGTCGCTTACACTGTGTTCCGTATGCGCAAAGTTTAATACCAATAGTCGCATCGCCACTGTGAACATTGATAATCATTCAAACTCCAAACCAAAATTCCTGCCATTGAGTTCATTCTGACCCACGGTGACCCTTTAGGACAGGACAGAATGGCCCCTGTGGGCTTCCGAGATGGTAACAGTTTACAGAAATAGAAAGCACCCTTTCTCTCCCGCAGGGCAGCTGCTCATTTCAAACTGCAAACCTTGAACATAGCATAGCCAGGGTGCCACCAGCGCTTCTAACCTCCCTGCCATTAAGTCGATGCTGACTCACAGCGACCATCTAGGACAGGGTAGAACTGCCCCTTTGGGTTTCTAAGACTGCCTGTGTTACGAAAGTTTCACCTGACTCCCACCGAGCAGCTGCTGGTTTCTTTCCAACGACTGACCTTGTGGGTCACAGCCCAATGCATAACCTCTACACCACCCAGGCTCTGTCAATTCTTCAAATCAGAGCCGAAAGAACTGGTTCTCTTGGGAGTTAACCAATCCGGGGCTCTTCCCTCACCTGCAGAGCAGAGCAGAGGGCCCCCGTCCCGTCCTCTCCCCACTGAGCGCACAGGGCTGTCCGAGACCACCAGCTCAAACATGGCGGCAGCAAAGTCTTGCAAACCCTCACGACGCCTTCCTCCTGTTTTTCTTGCAAAGCTTTCTAACTGTCCTGCCTTCTCTGTGCTTCCTAACCACTGTTCCTCTCTCCTTTCCCACTGTGACCAGCCATCCTCCCAGGCCCCTCTCCCCGCCCACATGCCAGAGGGAGGACCGCGAGTGTCCATTTCCTCCTCTGCTCCTAGGAGGACGCACCTGAAGCAGACTGGTGAGGTCTTCCGAGAGCATCTGGGGGATGGGGGGAAGCGACCCTTGGCGGATGTGGTGCCAGGCAGGGCCGTTGCTGGGTAATTCCTCAGCTCCCGCCGCCACTGCGATCGTCAGTCCCAAGGCAAAGATGTCTGCTTTGGGAAGGTGACGGTAATCCTTCAAAGGAGAAGCCAGGAAGGCCCGTTAGTAGGTCACGCATGAACCTCAGCCAAAACACAACTCCTTGATCTCTAAACCAGGAGTGGTGAGCGTCTGGTACACGGGCCGTTATCAGGCCCAAGAAATCACCAATATCAGCCAGCATCACACACCTCACCAAAGAGAAGCCCTTCCCATCATCGGATTGTTTTGAGTGCCGTCGTATGTCGGCGACCCATGTACAACAGAACGAACCACCACCCACTCCCGCGCCATCCTCACAAGGGTTCTCAGGTGTGAGCCCACTGCTGCCGCCGCTGTGCAAAGGTATCTTGTTAAGGGCCCTTCTCTTTTTGATGCCCCTATGTTACCAAGCACCATGTCCTTCTCCAGGGACCGGCCTCACCTAACATGCCCAAAGCACGTGAGACGGAGTCTTGCCATCCTTATCTCTACGGCGTGAGTTCAGTGTCTGCCTGGCACGGCCCTCGAATGATGTTGTAAATATCTAAATGTCCCATGGACACATGGCCAAGACCACACTCAGGGAGCTAGAGGCTGATGTCTAAGGACATGGAAGGACCACACTCTGGTCACCCATGCTGTGCCCTGGGGAGCCCAAGTGGCATCCTGATGCCACCTTGCAGCAGGGCTTGGGATGCTAATGGGTGTCAGGAGAGGGGAAGATTTATGTTTTCATGATTAGCCTCCTGGGGGGAGTTACCCCATCCTGGGCCTGACTGGACAGACAGCCACCGGAGGGACGAAGACTCAAGGTCATGCAATGACCTTCTGCTGAGGATGGGCTGGACCAATGGGCCTGAGGAAAAGGTGTGTTTCCTGGACAGCAACCAAGCACCTGGAGATTCTAAGGACGATAGAAAATGGGGCAGAATTTCCCACAGAGCAGGCCAGGCTCTGGCTGCCCTGGACAGCGGCCTCCTGCCTTTTGGGAAACACCTGTCTCCCACTTCTGACACCTCTCTGCTGAATGGAAAAGAGTGTGCTGCCAACCGAAATGGCAACTGTGCACTTCGACGTCAGACCCTTTGGGGCAGGATGGAAGGACAGGATCCTGGAGCGTGTCCCAGGAGGTGGGGAAGGTTGCGTCCCCTGCTCCACTTCTCAGTCCTCACTCTCACGGAGTTCACCGCTCAGCTGAGGGCGGAGGCCCCACCGTTCTGAGCTGTACCTCTTGCAAAACCTCTTCGGCCAGGAAGCGACTGTCACCTTCTTCCACCTTGGGTTTACTTATTGATGTCACATGACCCAGGTCACCTAAGACAGCAGGGGGTAGGGGTAGAGAAGGGTGCTGTTTATAAGTGGCTCTCCTTGGAGCAGGGATGAAAGGATACCTCCCCAGCCCCCCTGTAGAGGCTTTCCGGGCTACCTATGGCCCGATCAGGGCAGAGGATTGGCGACTCACCAATTTTATATATCACATTGGCAGAAAGAAACCCATCCACCTCGTTCTCAGCCTCTTCTGGGGCCACCGCGGAGTCACCTTGCATCCTCTGACAAATGAAGATGTTGCCTGAAGGGACACAGAACCAGCCTCAGTCAAGATGGCTCAACTCCCGTCATGCCAAAGACCCCTTTCTGCACCCGACACCGCACACTCCCATCTTCCTCTGTGTTCATGCGACCAGACCACCAACTTCTCTCTGTAGCACAGTCTCTCCCATTACTGACGGCACTGGCTGAAGGGGAACTGACCCGGAAACAGTCCTCATTCTCTGAAGGATCTTGTGAGATCCACACACAGGTCAACTCTCCCTGGGTCTTACATCCCAAACCAAACTCACGTTGTTGAGTAGATTGACTCACATCGACCCTAGAAGGCAGAGTAGAACTGCGCCCCCTGTGGGTTTCTGAGCCTGTAACTCATGACGACAGTAGAAAGCCTTGTCTTTCACCCATGGACTGACTGGCGGGTTCCAACCACTGACCTTGTGGTTAGCAGCTCCGTGTGTAATACGTTACATTACCAGGTCTCGCATGGTCACCGATGGCCAATGTTCACTTTGAAGGTCAGGGCCGAATCAGAAGGAAGACCAGGCCAACACCAAACCCACTGCCATTGGTTCAATGCCAACTCCCAGCGACCCTGAAGGACAGGGTAGAACTGCCCCTGTGGGTTTCCAAGACTGTCACTCTTGTATGGAGTAGAAAGGCCCCTCTTTCTCCCGAGTAGCCACTAAGTCACCAGGGCCCCAGAGGGCACAGCCCTCGCCATGCACACACTCAGGGTGGTGTGTCGTTAAATACGTAGCTATCTTCACAGTTTGTTCTTCCTTTTTTGGAAAGACACTTCCCTCAGTCCCCTGAGCCCAGGAGGACAATGAACAAGGTGACTGCATCAAATAGGGGAGACAGATACAGGCAGGGAGTTCTACCGACAAATACTTCCTTTGTGTGTGGTGAACAGAGGGGGAGAAGGAGCCACAAGGAGGAGAGCTCACTGACTTGGTTTGATGTCCAGGTGCACTATGCCGGAGCCGTGGATGTACTTGAGCCCCAGGGAAATGTGCAGGAGGATGACCTTGAGTTCCGGCTCTTGGAAATGGTTGTTGGACTTCTTCTTTGCAGAGATGGTGGCCTGCAAGCTCCCACCTGGGAAAGAATAGAGAGTAACCTCACCACCACCACCCAGCCCCAGCCCTCACCCCAGAAAGGGAGGAACTGTGTACGGGGTCTGGAAGAGAGCCTGCCTAGTCCGTGGTCAGCAAGTTCCTCATCAATGACTTGCATCTAACAAGCCTGGCTGCTCGCGGACCAGTCTATAACACACAGCAATTGCTACCCTCTGCCTACATCTGCCTTCTTGGGAAGAAGACGTACAAGACGCAGGAAAATCCTAGTATCCCAGCTTTCCCATATGTGGCTCTACTGTCTCAGGTATGCCTACCTGCCAGTCTCTCCTACGGTGGTGGCTAGGCTCCCAGTAGTTTCCATACCAGCAGCGTCACCCACGATAAGATGGGTTTCAGCTTCCAGACTAAGAAAGGACTGGTGACATACTTTGGAAAACCCTGTACTCACAAGAGAACACTGCCCAGTCTTGTGCTGGTATCTACTCCATGCCCATGACACGAGCTAGGGGCCGCCAGTCACTTCTGTTCCTATCATCCATTCTAACTTTAACACCATTAAAAGTGCATCACGGAGTGAGGACATGGAAGGGTTGATCGAGAGAGAGAGAGAGAGAGAGAGAGCACGAGCACACCTCCACGTGTGTCCACTTCACTGCGCCATGATCCTCAGTGTTATGATTTTCCTCCATGGTGTGAGCTGATGTCCCTGTCGAATGTGCTGTGAATCCTCACCTCTCTCTTAATGAGGCAGGCCCCACGATCATCATGTTAATGAAGCGGGATGCCCTCTACAGTACTAGGCTGTATTTTGAGGCAATGTCATGGGACATAAAAGCAATTAGATAATTGAGTGGACATCAGAGGGGCCTAGTGGCACCAATAAAGAAGAACCAGGAGCAGTGTGCATCCTTTGGACCCAGGATCCCTGCCCTGAGGACCTCCTAGACCCATGGGAAAATTCATGCCAAGACACAAGTCGATCTCTTAGAAACGCTGGGCCCATAGATGTTGAGACAAGATGAGGAGCTTCCTCCAGAGTCGAGAGAGAGAGAGAAAGCTATCCCCTAGCGCTAGCATCCTGAATTCAGACTTCCAAACCCACTGCTCTCGGGTCAATTCCCACTCATGGCAACCCTCGAAGACAGGTCAGAAGGGCCCTGGTGGGTTTCTAAGGCTGTCACTCTTCACGGGAGCAGAAAGCCCACTCTTTGGAGTGGATGGTAAGTGCCAACTGCTGGCATTAGGATTAACAGCCGGACGTGTAACCACTGACTACATTACCAGGGCTCCTTTAATGCAGACTGACGGCCTCCTCGATTGGCAGAGAAAGAGGCACTGTTGGTTACAACCTGGCACGTGTGAGATTTCCATGACAGCAGCACCAGACAAGGCGGCTCCCCAAGTTAAAAGACCCACCCAAGCAAAGCGAACCCACACCACCTGACATGGCCAGGTTAGCATTTCAGGGCTCTCACGTCCTATCTAGAAAACTCAGCAAGTGTCTGACCATCAGGCAGCCCCCAGCTGGGGAAGGGTAGCAAGAAAAGCAGGTAGAATGTCTTGGAATGACAGCAACACTACTCCTTAGAAGCACTGAGAGTCTATCTCCCACCTGGGACCTACCATTGCAGTACTCGTTCTGAATGATCATGTGATTCTCTTCTGCCCACGCAGAGTAGTAACGCACCACGTGGGGGTGCTGCCCAAGCACCGCATGAGCGTACACTTCCCGCAACGCCAAATCCCTAGGGGAGAGAAGAGCCCGGAGGAAACGTCAGCCGGGAACATGAATTGTGAGCACTGAATCACAAAATAGGTGTCCACATGGCTGGGCTGTAATTCTCAGTGTTGAGGATCATCCTCCGTGTTCACTGTGACCTGATGTCACTGTCCAAGGTTCCCAGGATCCTCCTCACCCGTGTTCACGAGGCAGGGTTACTTAACACAGGAGATGTTAACACACCACACCAGCAAGACAGTCATGAAGTACCGGCCATGTCTCCTAATGCTTCGCCCTATCAAATCTGAATGGGGGACAGCATGAGTCCCATTCCACAGAAAGGACCCCCGAAAACTAGGGACTTAGGTGGCTGACTCAGATTCAAACAGGGAAGATCAGGCCCGAGGCCAAGACCTTGGTCAGCTTACGCTCCATGGCGGGAATGTTCTCGGTCCTAATTCCACCAGGACCGAATCTCTGGTGAACAAGGTGAGGTGGCACAGCTTACTCACTAGGCTGACCAAGAAGGGTCCCCTGGACTGGACACTGGACATTGGGATGAGCCCCAGGTCTTCTCTGTGAACATTCAGTGAACCTCAGCCTGTGTAATGGAGCCAAAGAGACAGTCCAGAGAGGTGTTCACTGAGGAGTAGGGATGCCCAGCCCATGATAAGCAAACTATAGTTCTTGGTGAATTCTAGTACGGAAATGAAGGACACCAGAGCCTATAGCTTCAGATTCAGCATGTTAAGTATTGTCCTAAATATTTAGAAAGCACTGGCTGAATCTCAAAATTGTTGCCTGCCTTGTGATCAGGGAAGAATTTGTAAACAATGAGTTCTCTCATTGTTTACAAATTCTTCCCTGATCACAAGGCAGGCAACAATTTTGCTACTGAATTCAGTAAGACATGGCAGAGGTAGGCAAGTGAGTGAATAATTAGCTTCCAACCCAGCTAGATCCTTGGGGAAGGAACTAGGTCCCAATACATCTATCCATTGAAAAGGCAGGAAGGCCAGTAGTTTAAAAAAAGCCAAAAGACTCATCAAGAACAAAACATCAAGAGCGAAAACAATCGCACATTGTCACTGAGAAAATAATTCACCTTCGTTCTGCAAAACTCTCATCTGAAATGCTCTGAGTAATGACAATAATAAGCACAGATGTCGCTGTGAGGGCTAAGGTACACTTGACCCACACCAAGGTGTTTTCAATCACTTCATGGGCACGGGGACCCTGGACAGTGAATAAGGAAGACCGAAGAAGAACTGATATACTTGAATAACAGGGTTGGTGAGGAAGATTGAAATGACCTTGGTCTGCCAAACTAACAAACCGATCTGTCTGGGCGGAAGTACAACCAGAATAGTCCTTAGGAGCATGGATGGCGAACTTCATCTCAAGGACTCTGAGCATGTTGTCAGGAGAAACCAGTCCCTGGAGAAGGACCTCATGTTTGGTAAGGTCGAGGGGGGCCGTGACGAAGAGGAAGGCCCTCCATGAGATGGATGGGCACATTGGCAGCACCGTGGGCTCAAAGCTAATGCTAATGGTGAGGCTGGCTGAGGACCGGGCAGTGTTACACTGTTGTACACAGGGTCACTACGAGTCAGCATCGACTGGACAACACGTTTTCCAATGATATTCTGGCCGGACACAGGGCTCTCCACGTCAAGCGTGAACGCTCCGGTACTCACTTTTCTGTCACTCCCACAAAAGGTCTCGTTGACCGCTTTAGTGCGTAGATGCATCCATCCAACCTCTTAATGCACTTGTAGACAGTGCCGAACTGCCCGACGCCAATCTTCTCCAGCTCCAGGAACTCCTTCTCATAGCGGGAAGGCATGTCGATTTCCCGCAGGACACACCTCTGAAAGTGAATAGGCCAGGAGAGGGGGAGAGAGAAGGTAACATAAAATTCTGCCTGGCGGGTCATGAGCCATAAGAGTGCGGCATGTTGAAGGACGCAGGCAATGCCCTTGGATCTGACAGACACGTTGTTGAATTGACAGACGTTTCCTGGTGTGTAGCCTGGTCACAATGATCCTCTTTTGTTTTTAATCGGGGATGTCATGTTCCTACACCGCTCAGAGCTTTCAAAGAGGCTCTCAATGCAAACCCTTAGGGTTCTGTGTCCTCATTCATGGTCTTTCATGGGGACCAGCTAGCCTGCCTGTGCTCTCAGGAGCCCTCCACACAGGCCTGTCCCCAGGGTCCCTCCGACCTTTCCCAACCCTCCCTCCCTTCTGGCCACACTAGTTACATTTCCACGGGTGACACGCGAACTCACACCCAGAGTTTCCATCCTCCCCTGGGGGTGGTGGGGAAGGGGTTTTAAAAAGACATCTCTCTCTTGTTGACCCTCTGCTCTGCCCATCTCATGGTCAAGCTACTGCCGTTTCCACCCCAACTGGAAGAAACATTTGATTTCTGTTTGTGCCATTCCTCTACCTGCCCGCCCCCCCCCCCGCCCCCAAAAAAAAGAACTCGTCACCTTGGTCTGGAGAGCCCAGTCGGGAAACATCGGCTGTTCCACAGCGTGTGCTAATCGCCCTTCTTCCCAGGTCCTCACGCCTCTGGTAGGGGGCTGCGTACTGGGCTGCTAACCACAAGGTCAGCAGTTCGCAGCCACCAGCTGCCCCGTGGGAGCAAGATGAGGCGCTCTACTTTCTTCAAGAGTTACAGACCCGGAAACCCACAGCCCTGCCCCATCGGCTCCCTTGACTCGGTCAGAGTGGAGTCTAAGGCAGCGAGTTTGGTGCGAGGTGTTGAGTAAGGTGAGGGTCAGGGCCACTGCTCATGAGGACTTGTATAGAGTCTATGAGAACATGCCAGAACTTAGGATAATGGCAAGCACATGGTACATTTCCAGTGCACAGTAGCTATGATGACCCAGATCTACATTTATGTGAATCTCAACCGGAGCTGGTTTATGACCCCAAAGTCTTTTCCTAGTGCTGTTAGCTCTCAGTTCTTCCATTGCGACCCTAAAGACATTAAACTTCTAGTTCTTCGTTTTCAGCACCCACGTCCCATCAGTCCATCAGCAAGTCCACTTCTTCAAGCCTGTCCCAATGCATGGAGACCATGTAGGACAGAGTAGAGCTGCCCCACCACAGGGCTTCGGAGGCTGTCCATCATTATAGAAGCAGACTGCCACGTCCCTCTCCCACGGAACGCCTCGTGGATTTGAACCCCTGGCCTTCCAGTTAGCAGCCCATGCTTAACCACTGCACCAGCCCGTTTATCCACAAGAGCAACCCCTTTGCTTGCCCTGAGCTGAGCCTGAGTTCCATCTACACAAGATCTGCATGGCTGACAACTTCCCAACCCTCAATCTGGCTCTTCTGCTAGGAGTTGTTTGGGGGAAATGATAGTGTAGGATCCGACACCCCTGTTCCTTCCCACCCTCATCTCAGGCACCGCACCAGCCACGTGTCATGGCCTACCTCCCCCTCCCCACGCCCACCTCTCGCACATAGCCCTAAAAGTCATTGGATTCCTTCATGTAGACTCATGTCAATAATGACATGGCATCTCTTCCACCCAAGTCATGATTCTAGTATCTTCCATCCCATATAAATGAACCCAACCCACCCCATCGACCTGATTCTAGTATCCTCTACCCCACACTGTACACATAACCCCAAACCACTGCCACCAAGTCAATTCCAATCCATAGTAACTCTAGTGGACAGACAGAACCCCTCGTTGGGTCAGTTACCAGGCTAAGGTATAACTGACACCCCCTGAAGAGTGATGAGTTTATAACTATATACACAGGGGAATGTGTATATACACGTGGCCCGCAGATCTGTGAGGGCTTCGGAAGTTCATGGGAAAATGGAATTAAAGGTGAATGAAATCTTTCCATGAACTTTCGGAAGCCCCCTTATATATGTCACTCAGACCCCTGGTGGTGCAGCAGTCAAAGCACTGCAAAATGGAAAATACCCCATGAGGGTATGGGGAAGGTGGGGGGAGAAGGGGGAGAAGGCAGAGAAAGGGTAAACTGACCGCAATGATCAATGTACACCCCCAGGGGGGACAAACAACAGAAATGTGGGTGAAGAGAGACAGCAGACTATGAAGATATGAAAATAATCATTTATAATTTACCAAGGGTTCAAACCCCCCAGCTGGCCCTCAGGAGGAAGAGGAGGCCATCTGCTTCCACAGGATGGTCAGTCTCAGAAACCCTCTGGGACAATTCTACTCGGTCCTACAGGGCTGCTATGAGTCAGAACTGACTCCATGGCCGTGGGCTTAGGGGAGAGAGGAGCTGGATATCTGTGAACACTATCTGCCATCAAGTGGATGTCAACCCATAGAGACCCTACAGGACAGGGTTGAACTGTCCCTGTGGGTTTCCAAGACACCTACCCCCCCACCAACCCACCGCCACTATCATGACCCCAGTTCTACCTTACAAATCTGGCTAGACTGGATCATGTACACTGGTACAGATAAGAGCTGGAAACACAGGGAGTCCAGAACATATAAACCCCTCAGGAACAGCAATGGGAGTAGCAATACCATGAGGGTATGAGGAAGGTGGGGGGAGAAGGGGGCGAAAGGGTAAACTGACCACAATGATCAACGTACACCCCCCAGGGGGGACAAACAACAGAAATGTGGGTGAAGGGAGACAGCAGACTATGAAGCTATGAAAATAATCATTTATAATTTACCAAGGGTTCACCAGAGTGGGAGGCTGGGAGAGGGAGGGGGAAAATAGGAGCTGATACCAAGGGCTCAAGTAGAAAGAAAATGTTTTGGAAAAGATGATGGCAACATATGTACAAATGTGCTCGATACAATTGATGTGTGGATTGTTATAAGAGCCCCCGATAAAATGATTTAAAAAGATAAAAACCTTTTACAGGAATAGAAAGCCTCATCTTTCTCCCTCAGAGCAGTGGGTGGTTTCAAACTGCCCCCTCTGTGGCTTGTACATCTACTCCCATGAAGAGTCGCCGTCTCAGAAACCAACGGGGGCCATTCTGCTCAGCCCGATAGGGTCCCAATGGGTCAGAGTTGACTCCATGGCAGTGCGATATATACAGACATATGTATGTGTGTGAGTGCTGGCAGAGAACACTGAAAGGACAAACTGATCTGATTTGGAAGAAGTTAGACCAGGGCGCTCCTTTGAGGGAAGGACGGTGAGATTTCATCTTAAACGCGCTTTGGGCATGTTGTCAGGCGAGCCCAGTCCCTGGAGAAGGGCATCATGCTGGTAAAGTGGAGGGGCGGCGAGGAAGAGGAAGACTCTTGAGGAGATGGATTCAGCCGTGGCCGACACGTGGGCTCAGGCTAGGTGAGGCTGGCGCAGAGCCATGCGGTGCTATATTCTGCGGTGCTGCGTAGGGTCGCTGTGGGCTGTAACGGACTCAGTGGCACGTAACAACAACAATGTGTACACACGTGAGTGTGTCTGTGTCCGGCAGTTCAGGAGCCCTGGTGGTATGCATAGTGACCGAGCATTTGGTCAAGCCCACCAGCCACACTGCGGAAGAAAGATGTGGCCGTCTGTTTCTGGGAAGAGTCACAGCCTCAGAAACTCCACAGGGCAGCCCTCTGTCCTAAAGGGTGGACTTGTGTCGGAATGGACTTGGCTTGGCAACAGCGGGCTTGGTTTAGGTTGAAATGGGCCACTTAATGTTCCACCCAAAAGCAAGCTCACTACCTTGAGTCCACGCTGACTCACAGCGACCCCTGTGGGTTTCGAGATTGGACTGTTCATGGGAGCACACAGCCCAGCCTTTCTCCCACCGAGCTGCTGGTGTGTTTGAACTGCCGACCACGCGGGCCGCAGCCCTGCCCTCCCCACTGTGCCACCAGGGATCCTGAAAACTCTGATTTCCTTAGCAGTCACCATTCTCTTATGGCTGCATCTATTTGAATTATTAAATATCCTTTTCTTAGGTTAGATGATCAAAGAAGGAACAGAACAGAGATTGAGAACATTACACAATCAATCAGCATCGACAGATTTCAGAAGTAAACATTTACAAATCCCACTGTTTGGCCTCCTGCCAGTTTCCCGTGTTTTCCTTATCCACCCGGGGACTTCAAATAGATCCTGTGTCTCCCCTTCCCCTCTGGACCCGACAAGCACAGGATTCTCCCCTGGATCACAGAGAGAAGCAGTTTCCAAACACCCCCAGGAGCTGACTCAGCAGTGCACCATCAGATGCGTCCTGGCAAAGTCACAACCCACAACTACGAGCGCCTGACTCTGGTCCAGAGAAATTCAGATGCTGAGCACATTTGTGAAGCTCCAGTGAGTATGAGAGAGAGAGAGGGAGGGGGTAGGGGGACAGACATCAGGAGGCAAGCAGGTGAGCAGGAGAGGAGGGAGGGGGAGGGGGAAGAAATGGAGGGGGGCCAAGGGGCCACCCACCTTGGCCGGCAGCTCCTGTTCTGTCCTGTTTTCCCTGGGACTACTTTCGCTGCGGGGAGAGAAAGCAAAGTCATTTCCGTGAGCGGGGTTCTTCGTGGCTGGTTCTCTGTTGTCCCAGGGACTAAGGCAGTCTCGTCCCCTAGTCCATGGGTGTGGATAGTTGGTTAAGGGTGGGTGGTGTGAGGAAGGAGAAGGTAATATCAAGATGAGACTAAAGCCCAACACCTTGTGTGGAGTGAGCCCAAAGCTGCACCTCAGTCTGGAAGCTAGATGCCTGGCTCTCCCCTGTGTGGCGGGGGTGAAGACCACCCGCCGATGCTGTGGGGAAGGCAGAACTACAGCAGCAGGGCTGCCCACAGCAGGACACACCAGTGTCACCGCCCTGGAGGCCATTCCGACTGCACTGGAGCCGAGAAGGACAGGGTAGAACTGCCCTTTGGGGTTCCTGAGGCTGCACATCTCTACGGGAGCAGAAAGCCTCCTCTTCCTCCCAAGAAGCAGCTGTTGGGTTCAAACTGCGGATCTTGTGGTGTAGCAGTGACATCATCTGTTGTCAGCTTGAGACGATTATGAGCAGAGGGGTGGAGTCTAGCCTGTCAATCAGGCCCCAGCTTGATGACCTCGTTTGGAGCCGCTATGGAAATAAATAGCTCGCTGGAGGCAGGACACACACTCCCCAAGAGACATTCCTGCTGACAAGACCCATGGAGCTATGCTAGAGCCCTAGAGCTGGAGGAGCCATGTGGAGACCCCTGCCCGTGCAGAGACACTTCCACCACCACTGGATCCACAAGACTTTCCACCCACTGGCCTGTCATCTTCCTGCATTTGGGATCATTGCATGTGTTGCATGAGTCTGAAGAAGAATTGATAGACTGGTACTGGACATATGGACTAATATCAGACATATGGACTTGATCTGGACTGGGCTGCAGTGTTTTCTCAATATACAATTGCCCTTTGCTATGAAGCTCTCTCTTATACACATAGGAGTGTCTCTGGATTTGTTGCTCTGGTCCACCCGGACTAGCACAAGCCGCGAACAGGACTCCTTCCAGAGAGGAGTAACCGCCTGACTCCACCCTCCCGGAAAGCTGACGTTCTCTGGCAAATGACATCGAGTTCTGGAAAAGCTATTTAGGACAGAGTTTCCATTTCTAGAGCGCTCACTATTGATTTTTCTTTCAGAGATACTGGGGTAGAAATTGCCAAGGGTGTGGGGGGCTGGAGTGGTGAGGACCCTCCCAGACACACTAACGCTTTGTGAAAACCCAACCCCCACCCCCACAATGAATGAGAGAGAAAGCGCTCAGGAGCAAACACTACAGAAGTGCCACCACCTTTGTGCCCAGGAGTTAATGGGTATGGGTGGTCTCTCCCCAATGGCTCTGAGAGCGGTCAGAGCTTCAGCATTCACTGCAAGCCATCGGCATGCTTGACGGCCAGCGTGGGCTTCTGCTGTGGACCTAGGCCCGTTCCTTCCCATCCAGGGGGCCATGCACAGGAGGTCTGTCCTGGCCACCAGCCTGGGTCACAGGTCATCCTTGATTCCCAAGAAGCACACTCAGCAGGGCCCTTCTGTGCCTGCTAGCTGTGTGCTTGTTCAGCGGGGTCTGAGCAAACACTGTCCCATTCAGGGATCCTTCCATTCAGGCATGGAGCCAAGCAATACCCAAGTAACATGCAAAATCCTCATTTAGATGATTTCCACCCAAGAATGGGCTTTGGGAATGGCGCCGTTGGCTCTCCATATATGTATTGTAAAGTACCTCTGAAATCAATGCTTTCTTTTTCTCCCCCATCAATCTTCCAGTCTCAAATCCTTGCTCTATAAAGCCCCAGCACCACTCACACAAGCCAAGAGTCAAAATAGCAGTATGCCTCCTCTGTAAGGTGCAAACAACTTTCCTAGCTGCTGACCCTCATGGAGCCAGAAGAGACCCTTGGACGCCATGCCCTAGCCCCTTCAACGTCCTGCGGGAAGTCAGGGTCTCTCATTCTGCCCTGCCATTTACAGAGCACACCGGGGTGGTGAGGCCAGACCCTCTGGGAGAAGATAGACAAAAGTCCATGCTGATGAGTAAGGAGGCAGGAAGGTGGGGACATGTTAGAATTCGAGCATGGTGCTGACTCATCACGTCCACCCCGCAGGGCTCTGAAGTCCCAGGCCATAGTGTACTCACAGCTCTCCCCGGGTCTTCCTCTTGCCGCTGGACTGGACCATGAGCTTTCTATAGGACTCCGGGGTAAAGGGGTTGACATTGACCAACGCCAAGGAGGTCGCCTCATCCATCAAGGACACAGGAGTGAGCCGAAGGTTCTTGGGGGTCCTCGAGGAGAGCTTCCCCCCTGAAGAGACCCTGAGTGGGCTCATCTGGCTCTGGATGGGAGGAAGGGGAGCCAGAAAGGGGTTAGTCAAGTCTAGTCACTACTCAAATCTAAGAGTTCTTGCTGAAAGGAGTCTAAAAGATGACCTCGTCTGGGGTCTGCTCATTGGATGGTAGCTGGCCTTCTGATTAAGAAAATCCCTACCCCAGCCTTCACCTCTAGATAGTCTGATGAACAAAGTCAACGTCAGAATCGGTGCTATGATGAAGAGGAAGTTCTCAATATGGCTCTTCTACCCAAGTCTCTCTCAAACCAAACACCAAACTCACTGCCACTGAGTCAATGCTGACTCACAGAGACCCCCGTGGGTTTCCGGGACTGTACCTATGGACAAGAGCAGAAAGCCCAGTCTCCCTCCCGAGGAGCTGCTGGTGGTTTCGAACTGCCAACCACTTAGATGGCAGCCAACGTGTCACCACCAGTGCACCTTCCCAAGTCTCTCACCTCCCATCAAGTGATTGGGTGGCACTATACAGATAGCATGTATATAACACTAAGAGAAGGGATTGGTCAGTTATCATGATGACCTCCCTGGCTATAAGGACGGACCATCTTTGAAGCAGGAGGAGAGAGAAATCCCAGGGCCATGGGCAGAGCATGTCCCAGATCTCCATCTGAAGTGGTAGAGACCAGAGACACCAGAGTTGTGGCACGGAGCTTATGGGACAGAGCAGAGGGACTGTGCCAGGGCTATGGGACTGTGAGACAGAGGCCAAGAGGCCATGTGGCTGAGAAGCAGAGGACCAGAGGGAAGCATGGCTCCTGACTGAGGAGAGGTGCTGCTGTGGACCAACAGCCATATCCTTACTGTGTGCTGCTCCTGGTGTGCGGCAACCCACGGACTTCCCTAGTAAACCACCTTTCTTATGAACAGTGCCTATGAGTTCTGCGGGGCCACTGCGGTGGCTCGTGGAGCCCAGCAAAGAAGGGGAGTGTCGTGGGAGGAACGGTTGGTGCCAGAACAGATAAAGCAGGACGGAGGGTGCGAGCGCATCTCAGCCCTGCCTCGTGTCAATAGGGGAGCCACGGAGGTCAGAGAGGGCCCGCCACGCTGTTTAACTGCATGCATTCTGTCCCCTTTGGAACATTCTGATGACTACCTATGAAGACCACCAACTCGGTCTACTTTCCAAGACAGAGACACTTCAGTTTATCCCAAAAGAAAATGTTAATGTCAAGACAGCTCTGATTCTTGACAGTGCCATGGGGGTCCAAGGAGACCGGAGCTCCATAGGCAACCAACTGTGAGATCACCAGGCCTTTCTTGGGAGGAACTTCTGGGTGGACTCCAAGCTCCAACCTCTTAGAGTTAGCAGCCAAGCACGTTCTCCATTGGCACCACGGAGGACTCCAATTCAGTGCCATAAAAACCAAGCTCACTGCCATCGAGTTGATGCCGGCTCATAGTGACCCTACAGGACACGCCGACAGAACAGGGTAGAACTGCCCCTGTGAGTTTCTGAGACTGTAGCTCTTTATGGGAGTTGAAAGTCCTGTCTTTCTCCCTCAAAGCAGCTGGTGGTTTTGAACTGCTGACCTTGGCCACAGCCCAATGTGTAACTCACTACACCATCGGGGCTCCTCTACCTCACAAATACAACTGCCTCTCACTCTGCCTCATTCACATGGATACGGGTTGGACTGCTGTGTCAGTCTGGGTTGACTAGCGAAACAAATGCAGAGACCCTCATATGTGTGTAAGAGAGAACTTTATATCAAAGAGCAATTGTCTATTAAGAAAACATCCCAGCCCTGTCCAGATCAAGTCCATAAGTCCAATATTAGACTACATATGTCTGATACCAGTCTATACATTCCTATTCAGACTCATGCAACCTGTGTAATGATGCCAAATGCAGGAAGGTCACAGGCCAGTGGGTGGAAAGACTTGTAGATCCAGTGGTGGTAGAAGCATTTCAGCGCTGGCGTGCGTCTCCATGTGGTTTTTCCAGTTCCAGGGCTCTGGCTCCATCAGCGTGTCTCCATGTGGCATGTCACAGGAATGGGTAGCAGAGAGCGTGTGTATCCTGCCTCCAGGGAAGAAGGAAGTTCCCAGAATCCTCAGGAGAAGGCCATGCCCACACAGAGGCATGGTTGGCTATGACTTGACAGGCTAGATTCCACCCCTTCACTCAAGTTGACAGGCGATTACGTAACTGCTGCAACTGCTAACCATGGGGTCCCTGTACGTGAAAAGGGATTTGAGGGTGGTGGTTTACTGATACCGAGCTATTTTGGGGTGCTGTTGTTGTTGGTTCTGACTCATGCCAACCCTATCTACCGCAGAATGAAACATACCTGCCCATCTTCACAGTGAATACCATCCCCCAATGCTCCAGCTCATGGCCACTGAGTCCATTAGGGCTCAAAACCACCCCATGGGACAGGGTAGAACTGCCCCTGTGGGGTTCCAAGACTGTGACTCTCTAGGGGAGCAGAGAGCCCATCTTTCTCCCAGGAGCAGCTAGTGGTTTTGAACTGCTAACTTTGTGGTCAGCAGCCCAACCTGCAAATCACTATGCCAGCAGGGCTCCTACTGAGCATCACAGGGATGTGGACTTATGACACACAGGATGATTACATCAAACCACAAAACGGACGATAATTCCATCAGGTTGAGCACCATGGCCTGCCCATACAGAGGGACCACATTCAATCCATAACAAGGAGCCAGAGGAATGCCTGAGCTCCAGCTGTCCAGAGCTCAGCTGTGCACTGGGCACCGTGGTGGAGCCTCACAGTCTAATCGTGGTACTGCGAGGCCCTTCCTAACGATGTCCTAGTGCTGATGAGCTCTGCCCAGGGGCTTTCCACCAGGGATGTGTGAGGCAGACCACAAACAGGTGCACCTTGCGAATAGGTCATTAAAGCTGGTGTGCCTACCAAGACTGGACATAGACGTTGTCGGCACAAGTGTGGAAATGAAGAGTGTTGCAGAGCACACACAGGGAGCCGCCTCTGCAAAGGATGCAGGGAAGCGTGTTGTTGCTGGGATGAAAGGCATCAACACGGGCCCCACACGCCTCATCCCATGCAGAGGGCTGAGGCCCTGGAGACAGTGGGACTGAGCCCCCATGGGCAGGACCACAACACGGCCACACGGGCAGAATACCAGATCAAAATAATCGTGGTAGCTTCAGCATTAGAAAAGCTGCTCTACACTGGAAGGCCTTGATGGTCCGGGCTAGCATTCCAGCCTGCCATGCAGGGGACCCAGGTTCAAGTCCCAGCCAACGCACCTTTTGGGTAGCCCCCCACCCCCATGTGACTTCCATGCTGTTGCTCCTGCACTCAGAGAGATGAAGAAGAAAGGCCTGGTGATCCACTCTACCTCTGACAACCTCCCTATGTTCACAGCAGACCAATCGGCAAGCAGGCAGTCCATCACTGGGAGGCTCAGGACCAGGTGGTGGGTCATTCCATTGTCCATGGTGGGCCACCAGGACTGAGGCAGGCTCAACAGGCACTAACAACCAGGGTCCTTGCCTGGCCTGCCTCCTCTCACCAGACCCATGGTGCCCGCCATTTTGCTGCCAGTAGCGCACCTATCACGTGATGCACACAGGAAGAAGCCAACACCTGAGAGGCCACGCGTGTGCCAGCCATCTGCTTAAGAACACAGCAGTCCCCTGCCTCCAGGCCTCTCCTACTCAAGTCCACTTACGGAGGCCAGGAGTGTTCAAAGTGTGCTTGCTCAAGCCCATTGAGGTAAACCCTGGTCTAGCTCCACCCTGCTCCTCTCCTGCACGCTGTGCCCCACTGCATAAGGCAGACCCCCAGCCCGGTCCTCTCTCCACAACCTGGAAGATGCCAGTCCCTTGGCTAGAGTCCCCAGGGCCCCTCGTGGGCCTGGCGGACATCAGTGACTCTTTATGGCCTCTCTC